CAAGCATATGACAGAATCGTTTAAAAATAAGTTTATTATAATGAGTGAATATAAAATATGACAGATGCTTTAAAACTTTTTTTGAGAAAAAAGTAAAATCCTCCTTTGTTCCCCTTTCCCACAAGACAAAGAGTAAGAACTTGGAAGCATTTTACATAAAACCTAAACATGAAATTTTCACTCATCAGTTGGTCCTAAAAGGCCCTAAACATTATATTCTTAATGATCCAGGAAAATAGAAACTGCAACAAACCACTTGACACTTGCTTTCTACTGTCATAACGCTCCTTCAAAACTGCTGAAAGATAAGAACAGGTAACCAGGGACCATGTTTGACAGTCAAAGTGCATGGGTTTAGAGAACTACAAACATCTAAGAATACTGAAGGTGAAATTAAATACTGGCTTAAAAAATTAATCTAAGGAAATCTATATACATTGTAGCCTTTGGCATCTGGTCTAATATGTTTCTTCTTCAAAGAGATCATTTTGTCCAATCTCTTAACTCAGATTCAGTCCACTTGAACACATGTCTTATCTGAACACAGATTGTCCACAGCCAATTTCACATGAGGTAGTTGGGCTGTTTGCTGACATTCTAGGAACTGTCATGACTCAGGGGCGCTCATACATAGAACATGCTTGAGACTGGCTCAACAACCTTCTAGGAAGCCACAGGACGACTTCGAGGTCACCCTTCTTGTCATTACGGACCCCACATGCACTTATAAATAGACACAAACAGGAGTCTGTGTGGATGAGATCAGCTTTGCAAGGAGTACCAATGATCCTGGAGCAGTTTCTATTTATAAAGTACAGGGAAGAAATACTGACCATACTTCCAAGTACAGGTACTATGTGCAATAGAAGGGATGTGCATAAAACACAAAGAATCTCTTCCTGTGCCTCACATAGATCAGCCAAAAACATCTGTTTGCTTAGAAAGAGGAGTGATTTTTAATAGGGCAACCAAAGACTTATGGAAATGCTTGCACTGCAGGGTTGTAGTGATAAGCGATGCTTTTCTCTTTTAACAAAGGGCGAAACAAAAACAGTAGAGGACAAAGATCTAATACATGCGGCAACTGTCTCTTCAATGATCGCCTAATCGTGCCCTGGATACGGCAGTGCAGTGAGCAATCATGCTAAGGGCCTCTGCACACAGGCCTGCAACAGAACGGGGCGGGAACCGGGACGAGCTACCGAGAAGGGCTGGTGAAGAGCATGTCCACGGGATGGCTGAAAGGATCCCTAACAATCTTGTTAGAGAGAAGCTGTCTTCAAACACCGGTCCACAGCTAGTGGACTTCTTTATGTCATACTATGAACCCCTGAGCGAGCAGCTGCAGATTACAAAGGGACATCCAGAAGCAGAACAAATTTCTAAATAACGCACTTGATGTACACAATGATGTCTCTAAGGCCTGTACCAGATCCCAAAGAACATCTGAGGCCAGGTGCTCTGAGATCAAACATATCAGTTCAGCTAACAGAAATGTATCTTACTTATAAATTCTACATCTAGAAATGCACACACACATAAAGTCGATGGCTCAATTTAAAACACAGAACGAAAATGCTGGAGAGAGAGAGTGCTGGATTAAGGTGCACGTCTTGCTTGTGGCTGACCCCAGTCTAATCCCCAGCACCATAGGGAGGGAGCAACACTGGATGTGGCTCTGGAAGCCCCAAGTACTGCCATGGTGGCCCCATGGCCCCAATGGGTGATTCCAGCCCTGAGCATTCCCAGGTACTTGTGCTGAACTGGGCCTAATTGGTTGAAGATGGCCAGGAGGGGCTCACAGGGCCCCTGGACCAACATTGGGAAGACCTCTCCCCACAAAAAAAGAGCAAAGACATGGATGGTAAGGAAGCTGAGCTGTAAATTATGAGCAAGGTCAGAAACAAATGATTTTAATGCATGATTCAGATATGTACCAGTATATAACCAACTTCTTGCAGAGTGTGGGAGTTTGTAGGAAACCAAATGACACAGATTTCTTCCCGATCATTTCAAAATGCCCACATCATCTTGTATTGCTCATAACCCTGACTCTCTCTGCTGCCTTCAATGACATTTATATGGACATGATTTTCACCACTGGATTACAGATCCTTAGTTAGGTATCTCCTACTTCAGCCGCATTGAAGTAAACAGGAATTTACTTAAAATGTAATAAAGTATACTTTATTTGTTGGTCACTTGATGTTTCTTAATTATGCCTTTTGGATACACACACTTATGCAATGAAGTCAGAGAGAACCACATTATGTTGCGCGTGGTGCTCATGAAGCCAAAGTTTCTTCTCTAAGCCCACCTAGCACGGCAGGTAAGGCCAAATGATGGAACCCAGGTCCCCTCACTGCAGAAATGGACACCTGGGAAGTTTCATGTGCAGAGTAACACACAAGAATGACAAAGTCAATTCCCTTGGGAGATTCCAAGCGACCTGCTTCTAGAACTCTCTGTAGGGCTGGAGTGATAGTAGGGCAGGTAGGGCGCTTGCCTTGCATGCAGCCTGACTCTGGCTCCATTCCCAGCACCCCATCTGGTCCCCAGAGCGCCACCAGGAGTAATTCCTGAGTTCAGAGCCAGGAGTAACCCCTGAGCATCACCAAGATGAAACTAGAAACTGAAAATAAAATAAAACAAAAAGGAACTCTGTGCGAAGCTGGATCAAAAGCTGATGAACAAATCCCTGCCTCATGGTCACCAGTGGGTTTTGTCTCCAAGGGGTGAAAGGCATCACCCCACTTACTATTTTATCACCAGGATCAGTGATAGTGACTACGTATTAGTTTGTACTAATACCTAGAAGAAAGGCTGCTTCCTTTTTCTTCTAGCTTTTCTCGGAAGAATTCTCTAGACAAGGAGGGGCCCTAGAAGCACTTTGAAAGAAGGTGCCCTATTCTCTCAGCAGGTTCATTTAGTGTCCACTTCTGCTTATCAAAGGTGCAGAGAAAGCTCAGATATTCCAAGAATTCTAGGAGGGTTATGGAGAGAGCTTTACAGTAACTTTAAATTAGCACAAATCACAACTTTAAGACAGGAGCAACTATGGTAGATCCGGCTGAGAAGTCCTGACTATGTCATGCGCATCAGGGCAAACTGACTTTATTGTTTCCTGTTCATTTCCATTATGATTTCATTTTTATTGAGGGACCTTAAGAACTCTACATATCCTAGACTTGGGGAACGGGAGGGGGGGCTATCAAAAACCATGACCCCTTTCTTCTGGGAAAGGGGTGAGTAGAAAATATCTGTCCAAAGTACTCAGATGACTTGGGTTTCCAGTGATATTCCCATACAGTGAATGCTTCTGCCCTGGGAAACCCAGTCACCACACCTGGCCCCCCACCTAACCCCTCAAGTGGCTTCTGTGTATGGATTTGGAGTCTTGGAAACCTGAGGGTGTGCCCACACCAGAGGGGACAGACAGGGGCCATCAGGAGTGGCTGCGAGGGCTCAGGCTTCACAACATACATTCCTGCTCGCAACCCTTTCCCACTGGTGTAAGACCAAACAGCATTAGTTCCAGCTGGCGGCTTTTTCTTTTTCCCTTGTAGGAGGTTACGTCAAGGGCAGGAACTGAAGTGATTCCTGTCCCTCCGTAATGTCACACACACACAGAGGCAGGACCACACCAGGCCGCCCCGGGAATGGGGGGACACACACACCAGGGCAGCTGCTCTTTACAGAAATGATATCCTTTCAGCATCTGTTCTAGGCCCAGCCTGCAGGCGTCTGGTCCTTAAGTACCCAGAAGGCCTTAAGTGAACAGGTACAGGTTTCACGAATATGAATGAAATAAATACCTATTTGATTAAAGACAGCAGAATCAATATTCTTCCAGCTTTAACCGCTCAGCCCCAGGAGAGGGGTTTACCCTGCCCCAGGCAGTCAGAATCACAGCATTACCTGGGTGCCACCAAAACCCTGACCTTCTGCCCTGGGACTTCCCTTCTGGCTACTAGAAGAAAGTGGCCTCCAGTGGTGGTGGTGGTGGTGGTGGTGGTGAGGGGTTGTGGTACTTGTGGCTTTCAGGACATTGACCCAAGGCACTGCTTGGGAATGATTTAAAGCTTGTTTGACATGATCCTGAGGTTTTTGCAATTAACCTGGAGCTGCATTCAGCTTCCTCTGAACCACTGGTGACTAAGCCGAGTTTGCCCAGAGACCTCTTAGGAACCCCAACGCCAGATCCTGCCGACTGTCTGCTGATGCTGGTTCAACCAAGGAAGCCATGGGTCAAGGTGCTCGGCATCTCACTCTCCCATTAACTAGGTTATCTAAGTCATAGCCTCTTCCTCCTTGGGCGAAAAAAAAAAAAAAAGGACCTGAGACTAGGAATCTTGGAAACTCTTGTTCAATCTAGTGCTCCTTTCAATCCTGTCTGCATAAGATTCGCTTGGGATCTCTGCATAGATAGAGGAATGCAGGATTTCATCCCCTGCTTCTAGTTCTTCAGTGAGAGTGAGGCCTGGGAATTTGCTTTTCAGAACAAGCATCCCATGTGACTTATAGGCCCAGGTAATTCAGATCACACTTAGAAATGACCTGATTCTTCTGTTTGGGGGCTGTGCGAATGAGGAACTTTCTCAACCTCTAAACCAGTGTTTCTAAACCAGGAATCGGATGGGCCCTGCAGGCCCCCCAAGATATTCCAAGGGAGGGGGAGCACAGGTGAAAACTGCTAAAACTGGGGGAGGCAGGGGCTAGGGAGGTACACAGTAAGGACATAAGGCAGGAAGCACATCATGTTTGGGAAGAGATTGAGGCACACTGCACTAAACCTCACTTTTGATCCCGGGGAAAACGTCCTGAATGTCGTGGACCTGCTATGATATCCAAGTGAGTTCATACGTGGACGCATGGAGAGGGGCATCCCAGATCTGTCTCACCTCTCCCACATTGCCCTCTAAGTTGGTGTCAGGGCATCTCTGCAGAGTCACATTCTCCCCACAGGTAAACAGGAAGGACATCTTTTATTTATGTGTCTCTGCTGCCCACATCATGTGTGAAGATCACCCCAGTACCCCAACAACTGGACTGCCTGAGCTCTTCTTGCCCACAGGCCATAGACATGGGAATTCATGAAAGAATGTTTGAGAATAACCAACTCTACATTTCAAAAGTTCGATGAAGGGGTGTAATACCCTCGAAGTTTTGAGTCGATTCTAAGTTGGCTAAGTAATGGAAGCAAAATTTGCTTATTTGCAGCTTGGGTTTGAGTGATCTGCTAAAATTAAAAGCTAATACACCAAAACAAACACCAACAAATTCATTTGTCTAGTTGCTCTCAGAACTTGCTATTCCAGTCTACAGATAGCTACGATTTGGTTTCCAGGAGGCCCTTTCAACTGAAATTTATAGCACCTTGATTTTTAAACACACGAAACACATATGCATTAAAAAATTAAATATAAAAGCAGTAGGTTTGCCTCCTCTTTATCCCCTCTCGAACCTGGAGAGGGCTGCTGCTGGAAATTAAGTAGGGCAACTCAACACTCAAGGGCAAACTGGATTCCCTGAAGTTGGAAGGCGGTACCGGCTGCAGATGTCACACCACCTCGTCCGACTCGAGTCCGTGGACCTCATACAAAGTGTCCAGGATTGCCAGCTGCTTTTCCATGGCGGGGAGATAGAGGCTGAGGTCCTTCTGCATCCCAGCACTGAAAGCTTCCTTCTGGTGGTCCCCTTCCTTTATGGTCAGTGCAGCGACAAAATCTTCATAGGATGGAGCCGCCCTCAGAGCTAACTGCAAGAAGAATTGTCAGGGAGAATGTGTGTCACACTCCATTCCTGCCCATTTGTGCACGGGTCCGTGCACACACACACACACACAAACACAAACACGCACACACATGTATGCACATGCGTGTGCACACACATGCACACACATACACACGCACACATACAAACATATATACACAAATGCACACACACACACAGAGAATTGAGGACAGTGAGAGGGAGAAGCAGAAACACATCTTCTCCGATAGATTCTTAAATTATGCTCCAAGCACCAAATCATTTCAAAGCTACAAGTGGCATGTACATACATGGGCCAAGAGAGTCTGAGAAAATTTTCTTTTTATTCATGCTGACCCATAAAATAAGTGTTGATTTCATGTAAGTCTTTGTAGAAACATTTTGTACAAAGTGAAAATTGATGACTAAGGGTCAAAGAGATAGAACAGTGGGTAGGGCACTTAATTTGCATGCAGTCTACCAGATTTGATTCTGGACAACATAAATGGTCCCCCGAACCCACCAGGAGTGATCCCTGAGCACAGAGGCAGTAATAAGCCTGAGCTTATTTCACAGTGCGAGTGTGTCCTAAAATCCCAAATAACCAAAACAAAGAAACAAAGAAGCAAAAATAATGATTAAAGTTAAGAAAGGAACAAAGAACAGTAAACATTTCCATAACTACCAATGTCCTGGGAGAAATGGCCACAGGAGTTGAACTGGCAGCCACATGAGTGCGGGAAGGGGGGCCAGGGCCAGGGACTGCTTTTTGTAGTAGGCTGTTTGCCTTGCACATGGCCGGGTCGGCTGAGCCGGGTTCGATTCCTCCACCCCTCTCGGAGAGCCCGGCAAGCTATTGAGAGTATCTCACCCACACAGAAAAGCCTGGCAAGCTACCTGTGATGTATTTGATATGCCAAACACAGTAACAAGTGTCACAATGGAGACGTTACTAGGCCCGCATGAGCAAATCGATGAACAACAGGAGGACAGTGCTACAGTGCTACTCCTTCTGATTAGAACAAACAAGCCCAAACAAACCGTCTGCACATATGTCTAAGTGACAGGGCAGAGATTCCCTTTCCCCTGCTGGGGATCCCCAGAGGGGCTCTCAGGATGGCCCCCCAGCATACCAGTGGCACCAGGATTTGATCTCAAGATCTCAGGCTGTGGTGAAAGATGCCATGGGTTCTCTAAAATAGATCTTTCTTAAGTTTCTTCCGGATTATGTATTGACTTCTCAAAGATTCACAGAAGGTGCTGGTACAACTGAACCACGGGAAGAGAAGCTGTTTTAAGGAACCCACAGAAGAGAAAAACATCAAGGCCACAGGACAGACACCAGTGACCACGCTGGCAGCAGGGCCCAGACTGCCTCGGTTCAGCAGAATGTGACTGAAAATGAAAATTTACTACTTGACGGTGAGTGAGTTAAATTCCGTGGGTGTAAAAGATGCTCCCCTGAGCAACTGAGATGGGTTAAACCAATCTGCCTCTGGTAATTAGCATTTCAGGGAGCTTTACAAGCTTGCCATCGTCGGAGAACATGGAGAATCAGAGCAGAGAATCTGAAAGGATTGATACATTCCTCTGTTTATTAAGACTGTTGTCAAACGCACATTATCTATTCTTAAAAGCAGGCAATTTTAAAAATGACTGGCAATTATACGAAGAGCCTGCAAGACTGTTCTTATCCTCTAACCTAAGGTATATTATGTCATCTCTTATGTCTGTGGTCTTCGCCTCATAAGTAGGGATCATCAGAGACCCAACATGAGAGTCACGAGACAAATAACTCCATGTATGGGCGGCACGTAATAGCTTCTAGTGTAGAGCAAATGATCAAGATACCAAGATGTGCTTGGAGTTCTTGAGACATAACAATTTTACTTCTAGAAACCATTTTCAGGAAATAAGCTTTAGGGGAAAAGACATGAATGTATGCTGTTTTCTAATAAATTTAGAAGCAGCTAAGATTCCCAGCATAGAAAACTAGGCAAATAAAGTATAGTACTTCTATACAGGAAAATATTATGTATTCACAAAGATTTTTGAAGATTCTTAAGATACTTAAAATGATAGCTGTCATTAAGTGGAGGTAATATACAAAAATATAAGTGCCAAAAACCATATGCATAAAGTATATAAAGATAATTATATGAATATAATATACACATGTAAGATATAAAAATATAAACATCTATTACTTTATATTTAGATAAAGATAATATCAGACTATTCAAAAAATTAAGAAGGCAAAACTTTAAAAATGTTTAAAATGGTTACAGAGTGGCAAAAATATGGATTATTTCAATATTTTCCTTCCCGTTGTTCTATGTGTTCTAAAAAAATTTATAGGACTAAATATACTGTATATTGGGGTAATGCTGTAATTTATGAAGTCCGTTTAGAGACTCATGCTTAAGATACTTAAGCATGCTTAATTATAGTGTTGTTCTTTTTTTGGGGGGGGTTGGGTGGATTTTGTGCCACACCTGGTAGTGCTCAGATGTAAAATCTTAGCATGCCGAAGGTTGTTGTTCGTGGGCTCTCTGGAGGGCTCTGTCTCACAGCCTGTGTTTGGTGCTCTTGAGCCCTGTGCGTGGCCTGGATCAGGACGGCTGTTCTCTCTCTCTCAAGCTTGAGTCCCTCTCACTCTGACTCTGATCGGATCGCTCTCTGGCCCAAGCCTACAGTCTTAGTTTATATAGCAATCACGTAAGGTGGTGACACAAAGGTGGGTTGAACATTAACAAATCAACAAAGAGAGGTAAGACCACTCCTCCAGGAGATTAACTCAAGGATAAAATCTCATCTAAAGAGATTACTCCAGATTACTAGGAGATCCGCTCAAGGGTGGGATCCCAATAAGGGTGTGTTCTTCCCTCAGCTAGTAATCTACTTAAATAGTTGTAGTAAATCTACTTCTAATATTTCTAGCAAAGTCATTCTGTATGAGCACAGTAAGAGACATAAACTTACAGTTAGGTTCTTCCTGAGGACATCTCACTATATATTCTGCAGTCTTCAGGCCAGGTTAGTCTTCCTAGCCCCAGCAGGGTCCTAGTCTCGTCATTACTTACTTTTGGATCATGACAGTATTTGTCCATGATCATGCCCTCAACTTACAGCTGAGTATCGTGGCGCTTTGGCCTGGCCCATTTCGATGCCAGGGTAGCTCACAGCTTGCCCTGAGTCCATTCAGTCCCTCCTCGGGACTCTTGCTTTTGAGGTGCTAGGAACTGGGTCAAGAAAGTAGATGCCCAGGAGAAAATATTATTTGGAGTCAATCAACTCCCAAGTTACAAAGCATAATATTAACTGTCTTCCTGTGTCCATACAGAAAGGACACTGCTTTAAGGTAAACTATTCAAAAGACACAGGAGAGGAGAAAGGCAATATTAACCTATTATACAAGTTCAGTGCCCTGGGATGGGTGTGACCCAATAAACATAAGCTACCTGAGGAAGGACGAAACAGTGTTATTCTATACTCAGGGCTTCCTCCGGGCTCTGTGCTCAGGGATCACTTGTGGCAGTGCTGGAGGGAAAAACCGTATGTCGTGCCAGGGATCAAACCAGGGTCAGCTATGTGCAACGCAAGAGCCTTAACCCTTGCACTATAGCTCTGGCCTGACTGGTAACAACTTTTGGGTGTCTGATATTTCAAGATTAAACTCCGTTGTCACTTGTCACTTGTCATCCTGTTGTTCATCGATTTGTTCGAGCAGGCGCCAGTAATGTCTCCATTCAGCCCTGTCGCGTGATAGTGTAGCCCAATGGTGTATTGGGGCTGCTCTTTCAGGGTCAGGGGAATGAGATTTGTTATTGTTACTGTTTTTGACATCTCGAATATGCCACGGGTAGCTTGCTAGGCTCTGCCGTGTGGGCGGGATACTCTCTCCAAGAGGGAGAATCTCCTAAACTCAGTTACTTAGACTAAAAATACCAGACCCATACTTATGTTTGTCTTATCACCAAAGGAACTCAGATGTCTGCCACCTGCAAGTAATCCGGGGATTTACTGCGGAAGGAGACTTTGGGAGGCAGCGGCATCCCTGCCAATGCACTCCCTGGTTCTCAAGGATTCTATCTTCATGGTGGAGAGCTGCTGTGGGGGAGGGATGCACTGCCTTGGAGATGGCTGGTCTGGGTTGAACCTGGGACTTGCCTGACTTTGGGGGTGAACTTAACAAGGTAAGGTACAAGACTATGTCTGGTGGTGAACAGGGATGAACAGCCACGAGACAGTCTGCGCTGTGCTTATTTGACATGCACCCAAAGTGAAGAGTGAGGCTGGCTCCTAACCAAGGGAGCACCAGGATACGGAGCTAGTTACCATCATGATCCGAAAAAAAAAAAAAAGACTTAATTTTCACTAAGATCTGATTTCTTCCATTAGAAATCCTTCCTCCTTTCTTTACCTGCCTGATGCATCAGGGTCTCCCAGTGCAGAGTGAACCCAGGCAGATGCTGTCTCCCATTCTTTAATTTCCTACCCCCCAAGAACACGCACGCTTTAGGACATTTTGGTTACATGGAAGATTGATTTTTCCGGACGGTTCAGCCTCGGGCCGACTTCTCCCCAGCTGGGAAACACACAGGCTACTGGCACTGATGCAAACGGGCTCTCACTGCCCTGAGTATACGATGCAGGTGAGCAGGGGTCTGACCCGCTCTAACTCCCACTTAATTGTTCTTCCTATTCAACATGCAGGGAAAAGAGTTGGCAAGTAACTAAAACCAAAACAGCTACACAATGACGACAACCAGACAGGGAGAGATACCTAACCCTGGCCTTTGGGACAATTCCAATCCAGTTAATAACCAAAAACACATTGATTATTATTATTATGATGGGGGCGAGGGAGGTGGGGAACCACAGATAAAATCACAGCACTGTACACAAGAGGCAGCAGGGGGCGCTGTGAGCTTAAAGGCAACCTGGGCGTTCCCTTCAGGGTGTCTATCTGGAAGCGCCCCTTCTTCCTCTGCAGAGATACACTCCCTTTATTTTGTTCTTATCAGAAAGGGAATCTTTCCGAGACAAAGGTCTAGTGGAGACAAGGTCACTGAAACTCCACGGGGGGGGGGGGGGGAGAGGCATAATCTTTAACAATCTATGTTCTTTTTCATTCCCTACGTTTCCACCGAGACTACATGAAATCAACAATATTTTGTGCTTATTTTAAAAAACTGGGCCAACAAAAGCACCACACACACACACACACACACACACACACACACACACACAAAGAAAAACACTGCTGTGTCCATTAGCTACGTGGGAGACAGAAGGATTACTTACCGCAAAGACCCCTCGGACCACCCAGCCATGATGCTGCCGTAAAGTCTTCCCATAAGCGTTATCTTGAAAAGAAGAAAGATTCCATTAGGAACAAGTAGACTGGAACTGGAAGGGAAATTTATCCTTCCTAACATATTCAGGGCATGATCTACTGGTATTAGCAAACAATGCGAAAGGGTCGATTGCAAGGTAGTGATCTCCAAAAGGCTTGGGTAGCAAAGAATTTTACGCAGTTAAAAAAAAAAAAGAAAAAGAAAAACAATTATTCCCATATTTACCTTGTGTCAATATATCTGAACTTCAGCTTATCACAATGGGGAAAATTCAATACACAAATAGAAATTAAGTAGGAGAAAAGGATATTGAAAACTAAAGACTAAATGCAACTAGAAATGCACTACAAACACATAAAAATGTGATTTGAAATGTTTTTAAAATGTGTGACCTTTAGCTAGGCCCTTAGTTGCTCTTTTAAATCATCTGCTTTCTCCATTGTTCCTTTTTTGTAGTAGTGATGGCGGTTCTAAATGTCTCTATGACTGAATCACAGTATTCTGCAGCATTAAAGCAACGAACTATTAAAAATATGGGCCAGTGAAATAGCTCAGTGGGCTGAAGGGCATGCTTTGCATGCAGAAGGCCTGTGTTCAATCTCTGACATGACTCAGACCCTGCTAGGACAGATCCCCAAGCACTGGTGAGTGTGACCCAAAAACCTCAATCAAGCAACCAACACCAGCAAGAAAGGCAACAATGACTTGAGATTATTAAGCTGGTTGCAAAGTAATTGTTCAGGCCTATTGATAAAAAATTATTTATATCCTAAACTTAAAGATCAATTATTGGTACTGGAGAGATAGTTCAGTGGGTAGGGCACTTGCCTTGCACTCAGCCAACCCATGTTCGATCCCTGGCATCCCATATGATCCCCTAAGCCCCACCAGGAATAATTCCTGAGTGTAGAGCCAGGAATTACCCCTGAGCACCACCAGGAGTTGAGCTGAGCCCAAAAACCAAAATAAATAAAGATAATCTATTACTTTTGCCTCAATATGTTTTAAAGTGAAAATTTAAAAAACTGGTATATAATGATATTAATTACCAAAAAAAATTTCAAGAAGATCGTGTTTTATGCAAGGATGTGTTCCTAAAGGCTTTGAATAATTTAATAGTAGCAAAAAAAAAATTAAAAATTTTTTCCATAAGAATAAATTCACTGGGGCTGGAAAGATAGTACAGCGGGTAGGGCATTTGCCTTGCATGCGGCTGACCCGGGTTCGATTCCCAGCATCCCATACGGTGCTCTGAGCATTGCCAGGCGTAACTCCTGAGTACAGAGCCAGGAGTAACCCCTGTACATCCCCAGGTGTGACCCAAAAGATAAATAAATAAATAAATAAATAAATAAAGGGGCTGGAGTGATAGCACAGCGGGTAGGGCGTTTGCCTTGCACAGCGGCCCGACCTGGGTTCGATTCCCAGCATCCCATATGGTCCCCCGAGCACGGCCAGGAGTAATTCCCGAACCAGGAGTAACCCCTGTGCATCGCTGGGTGTGACCCAAAAAGCAAAAAACAAACCAAAACAAAAACAAAGAATAAATTCATTCTTAGGAGGCACACATCTACATCATCATAGATCATTTTAACTTCAATGCTGCACTTTATTTTTCAATTACCATCTCCACTAGTGCTCGCTCCTCAATTAGCAGTGTACTGTACTGGAGAGGTAGTACAGCAGGAAGGCACTTGACCTGCATGTAACTGACCTATTTTTGACCACCAGCATCATATACGGTCCCGTAAGCATCACTACAAGTTATCCCTGAGTGCAGAGACAGGAGGAATCCCTGAGAACTACCAACTATGGCCCCTTCTCCCACAAACAAACAAATAAGCAGCAGAGCCTGTGTGCAGGGTGACTCTTTGACCTTCATACTTTACCATATCTAGATCATTTTCCAAATGCATGTGCTAGCTTGAGCAGAAACACAAGAACTACCATCACTTAATAAATACTCAGTGACACTGTAAGATACGAAAATCTTCTTAATCATAACAAGATGCTAAAATAACTGAAAATATTACTGAAATCACAAACACAGTTCCTATGTAGTGAAAAGTAACATGGTCACAGGATACTGCCAAAGGACATCAGGCATCTATCTGCAGTTACTGGACCAAATGCCTCTACCGTGGGGTGGGGCTGGTTGCTTTAACACAGTTTATGATTTAACTCAAGTCCTATAACTCTGAAATCAAAAAACTTAAAAAAATTGCTTCTGCTAGTTTTAGTTACATCCTATTTTCAATTTTACATCAAGTTTACATAAAATACAACAATATTTTATATGAAAAAAGATATTTAAAATGTAATAGCACGTTTCCCTGGCTATCTAATGCTTAGAGACTTTAGATTGAAATTCCAGCATCCAGTTTGATAGTCAAAGCGGATTAACAGGCAGAATAAGCAGGCAGAAAATACTGGACACAGCCTTTTCAAGTCTGCAAGACAGCCAATTTCCCACCCATCACAGGAGTTATGTGGGCTGGCAAATAGGGTAACAAGTCCATGATCACAGAGAAGAGACAGTGGGAATACAGACTTTCTTATAATCCAGGCAAGGAATTAACTGACATTATCAATAGCAAAGGAATGTCAATGCCTAATGTATTGGCAGACAGATGCAATGAAACAGCAACTCTCTTCAGCAGGAATTCAGTGAGGGTGCCACACTTTCCAACTGTGACAGGCAGCAGAGACCCCTGGGCAAAGAGACTCATTCCCCAGCCTCCAGAAATCCACTGGTTTATAAGAGAGTCAGTATTTAAATAAATCATTATTATTATGAAATGCCCTAATTGCTCCAGGAGAAGCCTGTATTCAATACTACAAGGACAGAAAGAAGAACAGGATACAGTCATTGGGGGCGGGGGTGGGGGGGCTGGGGAGTGAGAGGAGTTTTAAATGCCGGCTTAGATAGAGAAGGGGGTGGTAGTGAGTGAAGGGGGAAGGAGCAGGCTGGAGCTGTGACAGAGGCTGGCATGCTGGGCCCTGGGGGGGGGCAGCTCACTGGTGCTGGCCTCAAACTGTGAGGACCTTTGTATTCCGTGTCAAGAATTCAGAACTTTGCTTAAGGAAGAGCAGCATTCAAAAAAAAAAAAAGTAACAATTACCGTGTGTTTTTTTTACCCCACAAAAGAAATGTTCATTGTATTTTATAGCCCTTACCATGCAGTAAACATTTTTTTCCCAAAGCATACTTCAGGAGTGAAAGACTTTTGTTCCTTGACATTCAAATGCAGTAAGTTTCACAACTCTTTTTTTTTTTTTTGCAGTAAATACTAATTTTTATTCTGATTAGTTTAATGGGTTTTTTAAATTTTTTTTATTAAAGTACTGTGATCTACAAAGTTATATACAAAGTTATATACAAAGATCTATAAAGTTAGTTGAGTTTTAGACATAAAATACAAATCATATTTGTACAAAGTAATATGTGATCACTTCCAAAATGGGGGTATGGTGCCACCAGCAGGACAACCTGTACCTGTGGGGTGAGTGCATCAGCCGCCTGATGGTGCCTTCAGGCTTCCTGATACCCCCAAATTGCTGCTGTGCTTTTGGCAAGACCCAACAAACTGGGGCCAGGTTTATCAAGAATTTAAATAGCCAAAAGTTAGGCATGTAGGAGCCACACCCACAAACCACTTCCAGCTCAGCTATATAAGCTCATTTATTTGCCTTGCTTCAGAGATGCATAAACAAATCTCAAAAGAGATCAAAATTGCAGTTAATCTCAGGCCTGTGCATGGCTGAACAGACCAGGGTAAATCGGAATGGGGGTGGTTAGGCTGGTGCCCGCCCACGCAGAGCCCCTGGCAGCCACTTGCTTCCACAACCCAGAATTCTGCCATATCCCCGGCCTGACCACGCCATCTCAGAATGGACCTCACCAAGATAGAATCTGATGAAAATTTGGGTATGTGGGTTTTGTGACTGAAATCTCCAGGCTTTATCAGAGTTGGGGTGGCTACCTCCTCCCACTTCCCAATACTCCTGGAAGCACTGGCAGTCACCCCCACAAACTAACTCTGGTGCCACCATGTAAGTAAGGTCTACTACTGGCCTTGCTTCAGAGACCCATAAATAAATCTCAAAAGAGATCAAAAGTGACAGCTAATCTCATACCCGTGCATGGCTGAACAGACAGGAGTAAATCGGAGGGCGGTGGGTTGGCCTGGGGCTGCCCAAGCAGAGCCCCTGGCAGCCTCTTGCTTCCACAGTCCAAAATGGCCTCCATACCCACAGCTTGACTCCACTGTCTCAGGATGGACCTCACCACGGTAGCACTGTAGCACTGACCTCCCATTGTTCATAGATTTGCTTGAGCAGGCACCAGTAATGTCTTCATTGTGAGACTTCTTGTTACTGTGTTTGGCATATCGAATACGTCACGGGGAGCTTGCCAGGCTTTGCCATGCAGGTGACGTACTCTCGGTAGCTTGCCAGGCTCTCCAAGAGGGGCAGAGGAATTGAACCTGGGCCGACCTGGTTGGCCCACATGCAAGGCAAATGCCCTACCTGCTGTGCTATCGCTCTAGCCCAAGTTAGAATCTGCTGAAAATTCGAGTATGTAGGTTTTATGACTGAAATCTCCAGGCTTTCTCAAGGTCGGGGTGGGCTACTTTCCCCGACCTCTCTGTCCTACTAGAAGTCTCAGTGTCACTTCCATACCCCAAAGCGGCCACCCAATTGAAAAGCTACTCCAGCCTTACGGTTCTGATAAAAACACTGAGTACCCTGAACAAACATCATGACCTCTTAGCACCTGTGTTGCAAACCATAATGCACAAAAGGAAAAGGAGAGAGAAAGAAGGAAAGTGCTTACTATAGAGGAAGACTGGGGGTGAGGGCAGGGGTTGGAGAGGGGATGGTGGTAGGAAACAGGGGACACTGGTGTTGGGAAATGTACACTGGTGGAGGCATGGGTGCTGGATCATTGTATGACTGAAACCCAATTATGAACAGCTTTGTAATGGCCTATCTAATAATATTTATTT